CCCCAAAACCCCAAAACCCCAAAACCCCAAAACCCCATTTAAAATATCCAATATTGAATAATAATTCTGTTGAAATTAGCTCTTGCTCACCTTGACAATTTTGGTGTTCCTCGGTCAGGTTAGACGCTTCATATATTGCAACAATTTCTGCACTTTACCCATCTGAATAATACTTTCATGGTACTCCTCTCTAGAAATAAGGTTGTTCTTGACATCTCTTCTTGCATTTTCAGAATTGATGAAGCCGTTTCTTAACAGCTTATTTATTGCTTTGAAATTATCAAGAACTGCAACCCTGCTTTTATCTTCCTTGAATAAAATTCAGGGATCGCTTAGGATACCCTAAGGGTTATTAATATGAAATACCTTTGACTTTGGTTCCTTCCTGGCTCCACATCTGAATGGTCTCTTGTGAGACCAAGCCATTCGACTCTGGCTTGACTTAAGAGATTGTAGAGAAGTATCTCTGTTTGAAAATACAGGATCAGGACTTGGAATATTTCGCTTTCTAAATTTTCAAGTTAGCTATTTTTGAAGTTACCTTACATTCTTCCATCTCCACTGTGTACTTCTTGCTCCTTTCTTCTTCTTATCATCATAAGCGTGTTCTTGATTCTCAGAGCCAAAGGCAGCAGAGCTGCCTTTGGGCGCTCTGCTAGAGAAGTAGAACTTTTTTGAGATTTTAGAAGAAGGTGAACTGTCGCGGTGCAGGATATAAGAAACTTTTGGCTGTTTACCAGTTTTAAGTGCTAGAGGTTGGAATTTGGAGTTTTTGAAGCTGAAAGTGGGGGCATGGACGAGTAAGGATGAGAAGCAGACTTGCGAGAGGGATTCAATGGTGAATTGGAGGGAGAGACATGGGAAGATTTAAGGGTGAAATTTAGGAATAAGAGAAGATGTGTGTTTTGGAATGAAATTTACTGAGAGGGTTTTTGTAGTTGATATAATCAGGAAAGATCTTGACCATGAAGGAATTCCCAATACGTTTGTGCCTAAACAGATCAATTATCCTGTTACTTTTTGGACGACATAAGGTGCTTGCATCTTTCACATCGAGATTTGAGGTTTCTAAGTTTTCTATTTATCCCAATTCCTATACACTTTGCAGTCCTTCCTTAGTCGTGACTCTCTTTCACTGTCTATAAACTATAAGGAGGTGTTTACCTCGGAACCTGGTGTGTGAGAAAGCTCTGCGGGGACTTCTAGAATCTAATTGGGAGGTTTGCCTTGAAATAGCTGAAAAAGCATCCATTATAATCTAATTGTTTTAAGGGGTTTTGGGGTTTTGGGGTTTTGGGGTTTTGGGG